GACCCTACCTGTCAGAGCCAAACCGGGCTGATAGGGATACAACATCCTTGCAGGAAGACTGAGATACTTGATGAAAATTTAGTTCCACTCGGGAATCGAACTCAGGTGTCATGTGTGCGACAATGAAATGTCTAACCGCTACACCAGCCACAGACACCAGTGTTAGGAAAAGTGAAGTTCTCCTGGTTTGTAACTCTGTTCTATACATGCCTCGCCCGCCCCCACCCCCACCCCCAGCCCATCCCTTTCTCAGCAATGGCGACTGTCTAGGCTGTGAGACAAGCACAGAGTACGGCACTATAGCCTATAGGTATGCTTTTTGTCAGACCTGAAGTCAGGAGGCGGGGCCTGGGAAGTCTGATCACATCCAAGATGGCGGACCAGTACTTCCGCCGCGGTTGTCCTGTGGTGGTTAACGTCTCGGAGACTAATGAGGCAAGCATGGGGCTACATGTACGGACGGGGTTCAAACCTTTGTGTAAATTTGACGCGATTCTTCATGTGCCCTCTGACAAATTTACAGGGGAGCTTTATAGTCTTGGATAAATCTCAGCTTTTGCGTTGCTCCTTGTTCTTGACTATCGTTGTTCGTTTGCTTTTGTTTCAGCTCTCATTGTTATTAGACTTACAAAATGTATTCCCTACCCCAAGGCCACCGAAGTAGGCATTTATTGATTTATCAAAACTGTTTCGAGTGGACATAACACTTTAACAATTAATGCAGTTTCATTGTCAGTTTCGTGGAATATGGATTAGCTTTGTTTCGCAAAAAGCAATTGAAGATATTGTTGTTCTACGCTACGACAATAACGTTCAGCCTTTAGTTCTTTCATAGGCTTACTGCTTCCCCAACAAAGAAAGGAACACACTCAGGCTTCTCTTTCTCTCTCTCTCTCTCTCTCTCTCTCTCTCTCTCTCTCTCTCTCTCTCTCTTTCCTCTCTCAAACCCTATCTCTCCCTCTCTCCGTCTCTCTGTCTTTCTTTTTTTCTTCCTCTCTCTCTCATACATACATAGATACACACACACAGAGAAAGAATGTGTGTGTGTGTGTGTGTGTGTGTGTGTGTGTGTGTGTGTGTGTGATAGAGAGAGAGAGCTCTTTCCTCTCTCAAACCCTATCTCTCCCTCTCTCTCTGTCTCTCTGCCTCTCTCTCTCCCTCTCTTTGTCCTTCTTTTTTTCTTCCTCTCTCTCTCATACATACATATATACACATACACAGAAAGAATGTTTGTGCGTGTGTGTGTGTGTGTGTGTGTGTGAGAGAGCGTGTGTGTGTGTGTGTGTGTGTGTGTGTGTGTGTGTGTGTGAGGAGAAAGGGGGTCGGGGTTTTTTTTTAGTTTTGATTTTTTGTTTGTATA